TCTATCTATCTATCTATCTATCTATCTATCTATCTATCTTAATGGGATGGACTGGATGGACCTTGCGGGTCTCTTCCAACTCTAGGATTCTAGGATTCTATCATCTATCCCTCTGTCTCTCTGTCTCTCTGTATCTATCTGTCTATCTATCTACCTTTCTCTTAAGGGGCTGGACTGGATGGCCCTAGGGGGTCTCCTCCAACTCTAGGATTCCATAACATAACTATCTATCTATCTATCTATCTATCTATCTATCTATCTATCTCTTAAGGGCCTGGATTGGATGGCTCTTAGAGGTCTCTTCCAACTCTAGGATTCTGGGATTCTATCATCTATATGTCAACTACCTAATATCTGTCTATCTTATTCTATCTACTATCTACCTACCTACCTACCTACCTACCTACCTTTCTCTTAAGGGGCTGGACTGGATGGCCCTTGGGGGTCTCCTCCAACTCTAGGATTCTGGGATTCTATCATCTATCCCTCTGTCTCTCTGTCTCTCTGTCTGTCTGTCTATCTATCTATCTATCTATCTTTCTATCTACCTACCTACCTACGTACCTACCTTTCCCTTAAGGGACTGGACTGGATGGCCCTTGGGGGTCTCCTCCTACTCTAGGATTCCATAACATAACTATCTATCTATCTATCTATCTCTTAAGGGCCTGGATTGGATGGCTCTTAGAGGTCTCTTCCAACTCTAGGATTCTGGGATTCTATCATCTATCTGTCAACTACCTAATATCTGTCTATCTTATTCTATCTATCTATCTATCTATCTATCTATCTATCTATCTATCTATCTATCTGTCTATCTACCTTTCTCTTAAGGGGCTGGACTGGATGGCCCTTGGGGGTCTCCTCCAACTCTAGGATTCCATAACATAACTATCTATCTATTAGGCCTGGGTAACAACGGAAAAATTTGTTTCTAAAATCGATTTATATTTGGGGTTTTTTTTTGTTTCGATATTTAAAATAATTACAAAATTTTCCTTTTAAAAAGTTCGATATTTACGAAATTTCGTAAATGGTAAAAAATTAACGAATCGATTTCCGAAACAATAACGAATCGATTCGTTAATGGCGGACGACCGGGAAATACGCTAAAAAACCTCCAAAACCTTCTGAAGCTTCCCTCTCCCTCTGTTGTTGACTGTTGGTGTGATATTATAATTTTTTTTCACTAATTAAACCATAAAACTGGCCCAGACATGCGGAAATAATAACGAAACGACCTCAAAACAATAACAAGACGAATACAATATCGAAATACGAAGCATTTACAAATGTTTTTGAAAATTCGTTTTTTTAATAATTGCTCCAGAATGGTTCGTTATCGTTTTGTAATTGAAAAAATTAACGAATTATTAACGAATTACGAATTAACGAAACGAAACCGCCCAGCCCTACTATCTATCTATCTATCTCTTAAGGGCCTGGATTGGATGGCTCTTAGAGGTCTCTTCCAACTCTAGGATTCTGGGATTCTATCATCTATCTGTCAACTACCTAATATCTGTCTATCTTATTCTATCTATCTATCTATCTATCTATCTATCTATCTATCTACCTTTCTCTTAAGGGGCTGGACTGGATGGCCCTTGGGGGTCTCGTCCATCTCTAGGATTCTATGATTCTGCAATCTATCCCTCTGTCTTTCTGTATCTATCTATCTACCTTTCTCTTAAGGGGCTGGACTGGATGGCCCTTGGGGGTCTCCTCCAGCTCTAGGATTCTGGGATTCCATCATCTATCTCTTAAGGGGCTGGATTGGATGGCTCTTAGGGTTCCCTTCGAACTCTAGGATTCTGGGATTCTATCATCTATCTGTCAACTACCAAATACCTATCTATCTATCTATCTATCTATCTATCTATCTATCTATCTATCTATCTATCTATCTCTTAAGGGGCTGGATTGGATGGCCCTTGGGGGTCTCTTCCAACTCTAGGATTCTCTCATCTATCTGTCAACTACCTAATACCTATCTATCTATCCATCCATCCATCCATCCATCCATGTGTCTGCCTATCTTTTTTTTGGGCGTTGGACTGGGCTTTCCTTCCCCTTTTGGGGTTCTATCAAGGGGAGAGGCCTGGGTGGGTCTTGCCGTACCCCCTGCCCCTTATTTGGCCCAGCCTAGAGTTGTCAATATGGGCCAGGGTCCCCCAGCCTGGTCTGGCCCCCTTTGCTGGACACCGGGGTGTCCAAGGCCAGGCGCTTCCTCCTCAGGGCTGGGGGGGGGATGCTGTGGGCAGGGAGGGGGGAGCCGACCCCCCCTGGAGCCCCTTCCTCCCCCTCCTCCTACCTCCTCCGTAGACCCCTCCGCTCATCCCGGCTGAGAGTCAGGCTCCGGGGGGCCCCCCTGGCCTCCTTGGCTCCCTCCCGGAGGATGCTGAGGGTGGTCCAGGGGCTTCAGCACCAGGGACAGCGGGAGGGAGGGGGCTCTACCTGGGCCAAGAGGGGAGGGGGGAGGGCCCAAGGGGGGCCTGGCAGGCCTGGCAGCCAATCAGGGCCCCTCGCCCAGACTGACAGCTCAGCCCCTGATTGGCCGCCTTTGCAGACAATGAGGCAGCTGCAATCTTAAAGGGACCAAAGGGAAAGTGATGGGGATGATATTTGGGGAGAGGGGCTGGGGGGGGGGGGTCAAGGCAGGAGCCCATCAAGCCCATGCCCTCATTGAACAGCCAAAGAGGAAGGGAAGAGGGAATCCACACATAAAGAGAGAGAAAGAGAGTAGGTAAGTAGAGAGATAAAGAGATAGATGAATGATAAAATCCTATAGTTAGAAGGGAACCCCAGAGGCCATCCAGTCCAGCCCTTTAAGGGAAAGAATATATATAAATATATGTAGAGAAAGAGTGAGATGATAGATAGATAGATGGATGGATGGATGGATGGATGGATGGATGGATGGATAGATAGATAGATAGATAGATAGATAGATAGATAGATAGATAGATAGATAGATAGATAGATAGATAGGGATAGAGAGAGGTAGGTAGGTAGGTAGATTGTTCAGAAGGTAGATAGGAGCAAGATAATAGATAGATAGATAGAGGATGATGGATGGATGGATGGATGGATGGATGGATAGATAGATAGATAGATAGATAGATAGATAGCCTGGAGTTAGAAGGGACCCCAGAGGCCATCCAGTCCAGCCCTTTAAGGGAAAGAATACATATAAATATATGTAGGTAGATAGATAGAAATAGATAGATAGATAGATAGATAGATAGATAGATAGATGGATGGATGGATGGATGGATGGATGGATGGATGGATGGATGGATAGATAGATAGATAGATAGATAGATAGATAGATAGATAGATAGATAGATGGATAGAATCCTGGAGTTTGAAGGGAACCCCAGAGGCCATCCAGACCAGCCCTTTAAGGGAAAGAATATATATAAATATATGTAGAGAGAGAGCAAGATAATAGATAGATAGATAGATAGATAGATAGATAGATAGATAGATAGAAGAATCCTGGAGTTAGAAGGGAACCCCAGAGGCCATCCAGACCAGCCCTTTAAGGGAAAGAATATATATAAATATATGTAGATAGATAGATAGATAGATAGATAGATAGATAGATAGATAGATAGAATGAATCCTGGAGTTAGAAGGGAACCCCAGAGGCCATCCAGTCCAGCCCTTTAAGGGAAATAATATATATAAATAGATGAGATAGGTAGATAGATAGATAGATAGATAGATAGATAGATAGATAGATAGATAGAATCCTGGAGTTAGAAGGGACCCCAGAGGCCATCCAGTCCAGCCCTTTAAGGGAAAGAATACATATAAATATATGTAGGTAGATAGATAGATAGATAGATAGATAGATAGATAGATAGATAGATAGAATACTGGAGTTAGAAGGGACCCCAGAGTCCATCCAGTCCAGTCCCTTAAGAGAAAGTATGTATGTGTGTGTGTGTGTACACACACACACACACACACACACACACACACACATATATACTAGCTGTCCCCTGCCATGCATTGCTGTGGCCCACTCTGTGTGTGTAAATATATGTTTATGTATGTGTATATATGTGTGTTTGCATATATATATATTTAGAGAGAGAGAGAGAGGTGTATATAAATGTGTGCATATATGTGTGTGTATATATATTTGTGTATTTGTGTGTTTATATGTGTGCATGCATATTGTGTATATGTGTGTGCTTGTCTATATTGCATATTTGTGTGTATATATGTATGTGTACAACTCCCAAATGTCAAGATTCTATTTTCCCCAAACTCTACCAGTGTTCACATTTTTTGGGCATATTGAGTATTCGTGTAGAGTTTGGTCCAGATCCATTATTGTTTGAGTCCACAGTGATCCTTGGATGTAGGTGAACTACAACTTCAAAACCATAGAGCACTGCCCACCAAACCCTTCCAGTATTTTAATGGCAGAAGTGTGTGCCAAGTTTGGTTCAATTTCATCATTGGTGGAATTCAGAATGCTCTTTGGTTGTAGGTGAACTATAAATCCCAGCAAGTACAACTCCCAAATGACAAAATCAATTTTTTGTGTGAAGAACATACATTGGGTTGTTAGGTGTCTTGTGTCCAAAATTGGTGTCAATTCGTCCAGTGGTTTTTGAGTTCTGTAATCCCACAAATGAACATTACATTTTTATTTATACAATCAGGCCATTGTATGCTAATCAAGGTGGTCAGTTGAAACATTCACACCTAGCTCCAGCAGACAAGAGTCCTTTGTCTCCCTGGTCATTCCACAGATATATAAACCCTTTTTCCTAGTTCCAACAGACCTCACTACCTCTGAGGATGCTTGCCATAGATGCAGGCGAAACGTCAGGAGAGAATGCCTCTAGACCATGGCCATACAGCCCGAAAAAACATACAACAACCCATTACATTTTTATTTATATAGATGTTTAGATATACATTTAGAGATAGAGATAGAGTAGATAGTAGATAGATTGCTAGATGGACCCCAAGGGTCATCCAGTCCAGCCCCTAAAAAGGAAGATAGGGAAATAATATATATAATATTATATATTATATGTTATATATAATATATATGCCTGGCCGCTGTAATGGTCTGGATGAGGGCGAACAAACTGAAATTAAATCCAGACAAGACAGAGGTACTCCTGGTCAGTCGCAAGGCCGAACAGGGTATAGGGTTACAGCCTGTGCTGGACGGGGTCGCACTCCCCTTGAAGGCGCAGGTTCGCAGCTTGGGTGTGACCCTGGATTCATCGTTGAGCCTGGATCCCCAGGTTTCAGCGGTGACCAGGGGAGCATTTGCACAGCTTCGGCTCGTGCGCCAGCTGCGCCCGTATCTCGGGAAGTCTGACTTGGCCACGGTGGTACACGCTCTGGTCACATCCCGCTTGACTACTGCAACGCTCTCTACGTGGGGCTGCCCTTGAAGACGGCCCGGAAGCTTCAGCTAGTCCAGCGCGCGGCAGCCATGTTACTAACAGGGGCGGGACGCAGGGAGCACACAACGCCCTTGTTGTCCCAGCTCCACTGGCTGCCGATTTGCTACCGGGCCCAATTCAAGGTGCTGGTGTTATCCTACAAAGCCCTAAACGGTTCCGGCCCAAAATACCTTTCGGACCGCATCTCGGCCTATGAGCCCACGAGGGCCTTGAGATCATCTGGGGAGGCCCTTCTCTCGATCCCGCCCGCCTCACAGGCACGTCTGGCGGGGACGAGAGAGAGGGCCTTCTCAGTGGTGGCCCCCCGGCTGTGGAACACCCTCCCTGTTGACATCAGACAGGCGCCCTCCCTTATGGCTTTCCGTAAGAGCCTAAAGACCTGGCTATTCGAGAAGGCATTTAATTGAGCGCTATACGAATCTGGTAATGACATTTGGAACGGACTATGGATTATGAGATTGGCTATGATTCTATGTTGTGATGGCGCGGATCTATTAGTGTGATTTAGATTAATGTGTAATTCGGTTGTTGTTATATTGTATGTTTTTGTAGACTGTTTTTACATGTTGTACACCGCCGCGAGTCGCCCCAGGGCTGAGAGCGGCGGTCAACAAATGAAGTAAATAAATAAATAATAAATAAATAAAATAAATATGTCGTTCGTATAAAAACAAGGCTGTAAATAAGTTCCAAGTCAAATGTAAACTAAGTGGGAGCAATATTACTTCATTCCTTAATCTTCTCGTTACTTTGCAACAATACTTTTAAAAGCAATTACCAGCTAGGCCTTAGTTTTGACCAGGCCGAGGCAAACTTGGTCCCTCCAGGTGTTTTGGACTACAACTCCCACAATTCCTAACAGCCGGTAGGCTGTTAGGAATTGTGGGAGTTGTAGTCCAAAACACCTGGAGGGACCAAGTTTGCCAATACTTGGTTTAGAGGGGTTTCTAAACACAGAACTAAAATCATATCTGATGAGAAATACTTGTTGGCTTGTGTTATATTCCCAATTCTTTAAAAAAGCAGTGCAAACAAATTATTGTTTTTTTTTCCAATGGTGTCAAACTGGGTTAATTCTCCGGTGTGGATGTGCTTTCCCTGCCTCTTGGGCGGCCAAGCGGATTTCCTTTCTCTCCCACCCAGGCTCACTTCCTGAAACTCCGCTTCCGCTTTTTCGTCTGTTGTTGTGTTTACGTTTTGTTACTCGCTGGAGGAGAAGCAGAAGCTTGTTTTTATGCCTTACAGGGTTATTTGAAAAGGGCATTGTTTGTTAATTAATAGCAGTCCATTAATTAGGAACACTATTGATTAGGAAAAAGCCTGAATGTGATTTTGATTTTTATGAAAATTCATAACGATGCGGGTGAACTACAACTCCCAGAATCATGGGTCGACCCTCGCCAAACCGGGCTTGTATACACAGTTGACCATGTTGGGTCTGTGTGCCAAGTTTGGTCCAGATCTGTCGTTGGCTGAGTTCTGTGCTCTCTGGATAAGGGTGAACTACAACTCCCATATGCTAAGGGCACCCACCCCCAATCCCAGCCAGTATTTACAATAGTCCATGTTGGGTCTGTGTGCCAAGTTTGGTCCAGATCTGTCGTTGGCTGAGTTCTGTGCTCTCTGGATAAGGGTGAACTACAACTCCCATATGCTAAGGGCACCCACCCCCAATCCCAGCCAGTATTTACAATAGTCCATGTTGGGTCTGTGTGCCAAGTTTGGTCCAGATCTGTCGTTGGCTGAGTTCTGTGCTCTCTGGATAAGGGTGAACTACAACTCCCATATGCTAAGGGCACCCACCCCCAATCCCAGCCAGTATTTACAATAGTCCATGTTGGGTCTGTGTGCCAAGTTTGGTCCAGATCTGTCATTGGCTGAGTTCTGTGCTCTCTGGATAAGGTTGAACTACAACTCCCATATGCTAAGGGCACCCACCCCCAATCCCAGCCAGTATTTACAATAGTCCATGTTGGGTCTGTGTGCCAAGTTTGGTCCAGATCTGTCGTCGACTGAGTTCTGTGCTCTCTGGATAAGGGTGAACTACAACTCTCAT